TTCAACTTGAGTATGTTTCAGGGAGGAAAGTGTTCTCGTGGGATTTATTGTTTATTGTATTAGGGTTTTTATTGTTTGTTGGTTTAGGTTTTCTTCATCTTGCAGTTAACTAATTCAAAGTATTTGTGGTCAGAAAGAATCACTGCAATTATCCAATTTGATTTATTGTAGCAGGAGTTTCCAAAGCATCCTCCCAATGTTTTTATCCATTCTTAAGTTGATGAATTCTTGTGGTCAGCGGGTCAGCAGCAGTTCTCAACTTACTAAGATTTGAAAGCACCACCAAATTTACATAAATGTGCTCTTAGTGGCATATCATCCTATATAATTTGCTTTCAAAGACACTGAGCCCCATCTGCTTAAGAAAGGCCTTTCTGCCCTGTGATCCAATCAGCATTCCAGTTTTGCAGGTCACTTGGCTAAAGCTTTAGAGAGTGACCTGCACAATTGGCATGATGACTGGGCAGTCTATAATCCCATGGCAGATTGCACAAACACAATCCCAAATGCCAGTTTCAACTAGACCTAAAATCTGAAGGCATCTGATGCAGCAGCCTTGCTGAAGCTAAGCAGGCCTGGCTCTCATTAGGGCCTGGATGGGAGACTGACTGGGACCTCAACATAAATCTCATTGAGTTCTATTGAAGAAAGAAAGATTCAGATAAAAAAGAAAATCAGTCAGATCATCTTTGGGTAAAGTCTGACAGTGTGGTATTATCTCCCCTGGGCAGGCGAGTCTTGTCTGTCTGTCTTGTATCCCACCTTAAAATGTAAGAAATGGTGCCTTCATGATGTCTTAGAATAAGGCTTTCCATTGAGTAATGTGTAGAAACATCTGGGGGTGTGCAGCTAGAATGTTTGCAGCAGGTGTTAGGGGAAATTATGACACTTTCTTCCTGAGTCTGCAACAAGGAAACCTTTGGTAAAGTTATTGAGGGCTTGCTTGGCAAAGCAACTTAGTCACACTGGTCGATCATGACCACTGCTGAGGAACTAGAGATTTAAGCAGCCATGTACTGCACTGACCCTGCACCAGGGATGGGAAACCTACAACAGCTCCCACCTCTGACTTACAACTCCCATCAGTCGCTGAACATTATCCAGGCTGGTTGGGGCTCATGGGAGTTGAAGTCCAGCAACATCTGGAGAGCCACAGAATCTTTGGTATCACCTGGCTTCCAGGACCAGGAAGATGCCAGTTTGCAGCGTTGTAGCTTGGCTCAAACTGCCTGCATTTCCCTCTTCCAGCCAGTCAGGGGGCTAGGTACTGGCCACGGGGCTCAAGGCAATACCTGACCCTTGTCAATCACAGAAGGCACAATGGGACATTTTTTGCCAAAGTATTTTGGCGTTTCACACTTGTCTGTTTTTACTTGTTTACAAGCATTTCTAAACCACTTAATATTTAAAATCTTTGAACCATGTTGAAAATTGAAAACATAAAAACAGTGAAACTGTATAATAAAAACAGATAAAACCAATTCTAGTAAAAACAGGGTCCAGTCTTATGGGTCAGGGAAACTCTAGGCAAGAGGAAGTGGCTGAGGCAACGTCTGGCAGAGGAAAGAGCAATCCATAAGGCAGAGGCAACAGTGGAGAACACTTGTTTTTAGGTTACCACCCTATGATATTCTGTAGAGTATGGTGCCACAAGCCATTTCCCTCCAAATTGTCTAAGTGTCCTTACAAGTCTCCAAGCAGCAGTCTTTCAGATAACGTGGCTTAGGGTTGTCCAAGTCTTTATATGTTAATAACAAGACTTTGAACATGACACAGACACTAGCTGGCAGCCAGTCCAGGTCCCTCAGCACAGGTGGAACATGTGTGCGTCCCGGTGCTCCAGTCAACAACCTGGCAGCTGCATTCCTGCGCTCCCTGCAGCTTCTCCGCCACTCTTGAGGGAAGCCCCACACAGGGAGCATGTCCTATTGTTGGGTCCTTCCAGCCTTACAGTTCTGAAGCACGCTTTGGACCCGTTTAGCTCCAACGTTGTACGTTGGACCTCTACTAGCAACCCAAACTAAGCAACGTCAAAGAACAGCCGCTGGTTTTTGAAGTATAAAAGTAGGAGACGGTAACGGCAGGTTTCCCGTTGGCTTGTATGCCCAGCACTACATGTGCTGAGTGTCGGCGCTCCTTGTTCGACAGCGTCTCCCTGATGTACACATTACTACACGCAGCTTCTGCCTCCACTTTCATCTGTATCGGCAGCATTAAATATTATTATATCATTTACTCTCTCGAGCAGGAAAATGATGTTTGGCAGCTTGTTCTATGAATTTTTCATAAAGATAAAAAGCGGCCTAATCTTGTGAGCTTTAACTCTCAGTAGCAGTAATGGCTTTGATTTAAAGTGTTTTGTCTTAATGATAGTTATATTGAAAATTTCCTGCTGCTTTCAAGCACGCACGGTTATTATCATAAACACTGATGGTGCAAACGGCTGCCAAATTGCGTGTGGCTGCTTATGGCAAGAGAGGAGAGAAAAAGAGAGACACAGAGCTGTGTCGACAGGTTGCTGTCAGTGAGACCTTTCAATCTGAGAGCATTTTGAGTCTTCCTGAAGTTTTGCTTTGACCTCCAGAAGTGACTTTTGGGGTTCTCTTCACTTCTCAGCACTGTGGTCCACAGCCAGGCAAGGATAGCAAGATGAAGCAGAATCTCAGGCAGTGTTTATACAGCTGTTCTTCTGGAAAGCACCCTTAATAAAGGAGCGTTTACACACACTGCCATCATTCTGCGCTAAAGTCGGAACACACAGTTGTTAAGTGTCCTCTGGAGGGCCAAGGCCCTCAATAGAGACCAATTATTTACATCCACTTGGGCAGAAATTCCCCATGTTGCACGACCCTGCAGAAAATGGCCTACAAACAGATTTGGGGTCACTTCCCAATGGCTGATGCACTTGGAAAGAGAAAGAGTTGGAAGCCCAGGGTTTGTCAGTCCTGCAAGGAACACCACACCAAGGGGAATTAGTTGGCATGGAAATTAATTCTGCATGAGTGAGTTCTGCTTTGAATGTCCTTGTGGGGGAAATCACTTCCCCTCTCATTTTTCTCGGTGTGCATTCTTAAGATGTGTGTTGAGAAACAGAAAGAGAGTCAACGTGCATCATTCTGTCTGGCTTCTGGGAGATCTGCCATACATGTCTTTGGGACCTAAACAGGTAGCTATCTGACCCTTCACAAGTTACAAAGGCACAAGGCAAGTGCCTGCTTTGCAGCAGATATTTAAGAGTACTGGTCAAACCTCAAAAAAGAGATAAACACAGTAATACAGGTGCTTTGTGCTACGATCTAATGAGAAAGAAACTATCACAAAACTCTGTAGAGATTCATGGAAGTTTGGAGCAGAAAAGTAATTTCCTGAGAGTTATTTATTTTTCCCTGTTCAATTCTTTCCTGAATTCACCATCTGGAGGCTCTGTTTTCATAATGGAGTGATCTATTTTGGTGATACAGTTGATGCTGGAAGTAATAAATAAATAAATAAATCTTCCTTTCTGTTTTGTTTAAGTTCATCTTTTCTGTCTTGCAAGTTCAGACCTGCTCTTGCCTTTTGCTGGAAGGCAATTATGAATGTGGAAGAGCAAAAGTCTTCCTGATGCTGGGGGGGGGGGCGTTCTTTGTTGTTAGCAGTGGCTTACAACACAGATATTAAAATGTACCTCTTGGCTTGGGAGAATAAATGTGTAGACTGGTTTGTTAAAATGCATGCAGACTTTTTTGCACCAACCAATTTGAAAATTGCTGTCCTTTAAAGGATGCCCATGATGTGAAATAAGAACAAGCTTAATATCCCAAATCCCAACCAACTGTGGAGTTCACGCACTGCTTTGGTCAAACTTGGCTACTAGCCATGATTGCTATGCTCTGCCTCCACTATTTGGAGATAGTATACTTTGGAATACCAGTTGCTGGAAACCACAGGAAGGGAGAGTGTTGTTGCACTCAGCTCCTGCTCGCAGGCTCCCCATTGAAGCATCTGGTGGCCACTGGGAGAACAGGATGCTGAACAAGGTGGGCCATTGCCCTGATTGAGCATGGCTCTTAGTTCTTTTGAGATTCCCCCTGCTTAGCTAGGTTAAATGTGGAGTAGATCAACTATTTGTGATACTTGCCTATTAATTAATTTTTGTTACTTATGCTAGTTCTCAATCTGAAGGTTGTGACGAGGTTTAATAGAAATCAACTTCTGTTTACTTCCTACTGGGACCCAAACCAATTGAAATCTACAAACTGCCTTATTAAAGCCATAGCTTTGTATGGTGTGAGACTCACTCATCTTATCTGGGGCTCTGTGGAGTTCAATTTTTATGGCCAGGACATTAACACAAACTCCAAACCTTGCACTATGCAGTACTAAAATGGAGGTGGGGGTGGGAGTGATCTTGTAGGATCCAGTACAACAGGAAATCCAGGTAAGATCAAATAAGGAACATTTCTCAATTAATACATATATATACTTTGGTACAAATAGTTATGCACACGCGCACGTGCGCACACACTTTGTATACATTGCACCTGGTGGTTGGGGATTTTTTTTGCCTTTTATGAGTTTGGGGAAAGGGACTTCATGTGGATGAACCCCTGTAGCTTTGCAAGGTTAGGCCCAGTCAGCTTGGTTCGGCTTTTCTCTACACTTCTCAGTATGTATTGCATTGGTTGTCATTTTAATCAGTTGGGGCTCTGTGTTTGCATACTTCTGTTCTTGTGCCTGTTTTGGAAAAGAATATATAGTACATCAGATGGTGAGTTTATGTTTTTTTGTTTTTTCACAAAATCCAGGCTCAATGCCTCTGAACCTATGAGTCTGAGTAAGGACCCTGGAGCGTGTATGATCAAGCTGTGGTCCACTTGCTCCTCAAAATCCTACATACATATATTTTTGCTCTTGTTTCCGTGATTTGTAACTGTAAAAAAATAATAATAAAGTACAATTTAATATTGAAAATAAGAACCAATCCAGTATCCACAATGATAGAGTCACTGTATCTCCAGGGATCCCCGATTACGGTTTCTATTCTCCGCCCGGTGACCAACGGGCTCAATTATCCTACGCGGACTATGGTTCCATGGGGCCTCGGGTGGCTCAGATGCTTCGTAGCGAGCACCCTGCTTCAGCGAGTAACTCCCCCCTTCACCACCTTCCCAGCCCGGATCAATTTAAAAGCCCAGGTTTGTATAGAATTTCATTCATTTGGGGAAGCAAAAGAAAAGAGAAATGGCAATAGCATCACATATTTAGCGATGCACAGAAAGAGATCTGCATGCTATGTATGCCACTTAATGGTTGGCAATCAAACTTTACTCCATCCTTTTATTCAGTTCTAGAATTTTTGTCGACTTTGCTTCAGTTGTGAAGGGCACAGTTTTCTTTTAGGGGCTGTTCCAGATCTGATCAAATGTCAATCAAAACCTTTTGTAGAGGCATGACAGCAGAGAGTGAAGTAGCTCATTAGATGTGCAGGGCAATCTTATTCATGTCTACTTGGAAGTAAGTCTTGAGCTTAAAAAGTGCATTCCCTCTTCAGATGGGTGTGAATCAAAATTTAGCTGTATTCTTTAAAGATTAAATATAGGACCCTAATAATTTGTGTTTATTTTTTCAAGATTCTTCTTAACCCCAGAGATTTTGATGCAAAAGGTTTCAAACTGCATATTCTGTTGAAAGTTATTCTTAGCTAGGTATTTGACCTGAAAGAGATGCTTAGAATAAGGTGTGTGCGCTTGTGTATGAATGATACTTCATCCTCCTGAGAATCTTTTACTTTGCTTCTTCCAGAAATTTGTTTCTGACATATGATGAGCTCTTTCATTAGCAATCTGATCCTAAATACCTCTTCAGTGCACCTATCTTATGCTGCATAAGCTTCATGTAGTTTATCATTTCAACTGAACTGGGAACTATTGTTAGATTTAACTATGGTTTATCCAAACAATCCAAGATCAAATTGTGTTTTCTGATCCTGACTTGTTTGGATAAAACCATTGTTGAAATTAAATGAAAATCCTGGTTTGGATGAAACAATAAACAGTGGTTAGTTGAAAATGCTTTTGATTTGTTCTTTGTGGCTATAACAGGAAGAGAGGGGAGAGCAGACCAAGTCAGGCTCTTTAAATTACAACTTAGTGTTGTGTCCAAACCTGGTCATTGTTTTCTACAAGGATTCCACAAATGTATCTATGACTTAGATTTTTAGCACACCCTTTCTTGAAACAGACAGTCTTCTCAGGGCCCCTTCACACCTGTTTTTGAATCATCCCCAAATGCAGATTCGCAAATTCTGCATTCCACCTAGAATGAACTCTCGCAATGAAACCTTGGTTTACATTAAGTGTTGAAAGAGTTCCTACTGGTCTTAATGTTTAAATAAGAGGAGGAATGTCTTGCTGTTGCTCATAGGCATGTGGTGGCTTCTAAATATATACTTGCATAGAGTTCACCACTTGAATGAGTCAGCCATCATCTCTCCCCCTCCCCACCTTGGAAAATCCTACGTAACTAGATGGCCTAAATACCTGTACATGGGGTTGATTTTTTGACAGTCTTGTAAAATTGCTGAAGTGCTTTTGCCTTGAAAATAGGAAGCCATCATTTCCTCCTCACTTTGTGAATCCACCTCAGTATAATGCGCCATATGCTAAAGCAGATGTCATAATGAATCATGGCTGGAAATTCCTCCCCATTTTATCAAAGAGAGTTTATCTTTCAGTGGTGACCTTTCTTGTCCAGAACTGGAGTAATTTGTGTGCAGGCTTTGTGTTAACATGCCAGTTCATAGGACAAAGTGCCTGATAAGCCAGCCTTAGCTCTCACTTGTCAGCAGTGCCAGCAAAATCATGCTCTGGGCTCTCGCCACACAAGCACTCCTTAAGGCAGCCTTCCCCAACCTGGTGCCCTCCATATGTTTTTGACTACAGCTCCCATCAGCCCCAGTCAGCACAGTCATGGGGCCTGCGGCTGATGGGAGCCGTAGTCAAAAACATACGGAGGGCACCAAATTGGGGGAGGTGCTTTAAGATTTCACCATTTAGGCTCCTCACCTTGCTTCCAAATCATGCAGTAAGCAGAATAGTAGATTCCCCTTTGTCTCAGGAGAGAAAGTCCTGTTTCCCATTTGCATATGTTAATTCATCAAATCATGAATTAAAAATTGGCCAGCATTGAGGCGCACCTAAAACTGTTTTAGATACAATAGTTTCAAATCAGCAAGTAGGAACACTCAACCCAGGATCAAAACCAATGGTGGGACTAGTTTGCCTAGTATTTTGGATAGCTCAGTTGATGAGAGTTTGGTACTGATAATGCCAAGGTCCCAGTTTTATCCCCATACAGGAAAGTTGCATATTCCTGCATTGAAGGGGGTTGGACTATATGATCCCCAGAGTCCCTTCCAACTCTACAATTCTACTATTCTAAGTGAGCATGCAAAAGTGCTTTGAACAGTGAGGGGGCTCTAAGGATCATTGCAGAACAGCCAGAATGTACATGCAGGTAGCCTTTTATGTTTAAAGGTACAGTGGTGCCCCGCAAGACGAATGCCTCACAAGACGAAAAACTCGCTAGACGAAAGGGTTTTCTGTTTTTTGAGTCGTTCCGCAAGACGAATTTCCCTATGGTCTTGCTTCGCAAGACGAAATGTCTTGCGAGTTCTTGCGAGTTTGTTTCCTTTTTCTTAAAGCCGCTAAGCCGCTAATAGCCGCTAAGCCACTAATAGCCGTGCTTCGCAAGACGAAAAAACCGCAAGACGAAGAGACTCGCGGAACGGATTAATTTCGTCTTGCGAGGCACCACTGTATTTAATTGCATTATGTCCTGGTGAGCCATCAGGTAGAATTCTGCCTGTATTCTTTTCATTATATCACCACAATGGCTGATTCAGATATCTGGACAGCCAAAGTCTGCCCACTTCCTTACTCAGTTGTGTTTTGCTGGTCCGCAACAGCCATTTTCAGTGGAAACCACAGAGGAAGGGTGAGATATCGGACAAATCAGAAAGCAGGAAAGATTGGACAAATCAGTTATTCCTTCTTTGGCTTTTGCTGATTGTCTGCAGGCAGAAAGCATGAAGGGAGAAAGCATGTATTAGACATGTTCCCACAGGAAATGATGGATATGATCATCTCGTTTTGTGAATACTCGCCAGACAATATATTTTCTGGGAATGAATCCTGTTCGGAAGGCGAGACCTGTGTGTACATCTTACGTTGCACATTGTTTTACCGAAGAGATGCTACAGAAATAATGCTTAAAATCTATAGGTAGGAATGTATAGATTTAGGGTGCAGAAGTGTGTGAATTTTTAACACATATATTGAAACAGTTATGTCCCTAATGAAGTTCGGAAATGAAGTCCTCAGAGAAGGAGGGTGCTGAATATGAAGGAGATGAGATCCAGCAGAGAAAAGCAGGAGGGATTTATATTAAATGCCACATTCTGTAGCAAGGACCTTTTTAAAAATGCTTTTTAAATGTTTGATGTTATATTATGTTTTTATATGTGTTGGAAGCTGCCCAGAGTGGCTGGGGCAACCCAGCCAGAAGGGCAGGGTATAAATAATAACATTAGTAGTAGCATGAGCCCCCTCCCTCCCCAGCCAAATTGGGGACGGTGCAGTGAACCGTCACAATCCACAGCAACATATGGCACCTTCAGTGTGCTGTGGGAAGAGTAACTTTTCATATGTCTCAGTCTTGTTTCATACCCACCTAACTTCCTCCTGTCTCAGAAGAAAAGAAAAGGAGGGATTAGAACTTGGACTCAATATGCGGCTGGTGAGGAAGAACAGAGTGAGTTTTCTTGGTGCCAGTGCTTTTCTTCTAGAAAAAAGGGTGTCAGTAGCACTGTGTAGCCTTGAGTACTCCCAGAAAAAAGCGCTTGTCTTGGCATCAGCGCTGCCTTCTGTACTCCCTTCTCCAAAGCTCTCCCCCACTTGAGCTCTTTTACTTATTTTATTTATTTGCCCTTTGGGTGATAATTTTCCCGTTTTTGAAAACCAGGGCTCAGTGTGTTGTAATGTTGGATAAAGACTGGGGACTCAGGTTCCACTTGCCCCCAACTGAGCCATGGGCCTCACTGGGTGACCTTAGGCCAGTCACCACCTCAGGCTATGCTGCCTTACAGGGGTAGAAATGAGACAGGATGATAGATGCCACCTCCAGCTCCTTGGAGAAAACACGAGTTACAGATATTTTTATAGATACATAAAAAAGAGCTTGCAGTAAAAAAGATGGAGCAGGGGTGTCACAGCGTTCCTTTACTGACAGTCTCCTGAGCACCTTTTAGTACTCCCTGAAATAATAGGGTAATCACCAGCTCATCCAGAATCATTTCATTCAGCCTGCTGGTTGTTTTGCTAGCTTGCTTAAACAAACCTGTTAAGTGACTGGTCTCTGTTTCCCCTGCGATGTGGAAGGTGGTATCTTAGATTTCTACAAGCTAAATCTCTTGCCATTTCTTAGGGCTACTCTACCTGCTATTTGTTTTAGGTGTACATCAAAAAATGTAATGTGCAAGTGAAGCAAACACATGTACTATTCAGGTACGGCGACTGGCTGTGGTCTGTAGTTAAAAGCTCACAGTGCCAGACTCAGGTTTGTCTTGGTTTAATGTGCAAAATGGCCTTAAATGATTCTGGGAATAGTTCTCTCTTTGTGGCAGTCCCAATATTTACCAGCCCCGCTCCCAATCTTCTTTTCTCTGGGTTCAGCAAAAAAGCTATCCCTTCAGTTTCTCCCCTTCACTTACATCTTAAAACATTCCATTTCTACTTTGATCCTCTCAATCCTATTTCCTCCCACCTCTTGTTTTAAATTATGGTAGCCCAACTGGACAAAATTGGTCATCGGAGACTCGATCAGCGTGATGCTGTTGTTTTCCATTGCTTGGATACATCGCTTTCTCTAATGTGCCCCCCAGGGGCTGCATTTTAGGTTGTAGGGCTTTTTCCCCTAGTTTGCTTTTGAACAATGCATTATTGCTGACTCACACTCATCTTGTTCTCTCTATTAAGCAGCCGGAGGAACTGAGTCTGCGACGTGAAGTGCATGATTGCGAGTCCATGTCATTATTTTTAGCTCCTAATTGAATGTGAACTTGCTGGACCTCTGTGTGTAATCTAGGTTAATGGGCACACAATGTGGCATTAGAGCTTCCCACACTCATTCCTGTTTG